TATCCATTTTTTTACTGAGTCTGTGAAGTTTACGTAATCACACTTCTTAATGCAGATTAATTCAAATCAAAAGCAAGTTCAAGATCAATGAAAGACCTTTGAATAACCATTAGCGATCTTAAAATTTTTGTCTTGTAAAGTCAATTTAATTGTATTATAACGATACAATATAAAGAATTTTGTAAGCTTCGTGACTTGTAATTTTATATAGAGGATGATTGAATCTTGAACTTTCTTTTATTATTGCGTAAAATTACCAGGTTATGTGTGTAGAATAGTACTTCCATCATATAATATCGTTTTAATCATTGTAAAAAAGGATCAGTAAGGATCCTTTCTATCAACATGGACATGTTCATAGTAATAATGGAAAACATTTCAACATGTCCATCAAATAGAGTTTATTATTCGACCGAAACTGGCCACGCACCCACCCACCCTCGGTGGACATACAACAACACATACATTCACTGAATGAGGTTCACTATTCAACCGAAAACAGCCACACATGCACTCCCCCCCCACCCACCACGGAGAACAGTAATCTCATCACATATTATGTACGATGCTCTTTATCGTCCATGTGACAAGGTTCCACACTTACTCACTTCGACTAGCTCTCAGCCATGCACACATGCATCCCTAATGATAATGATCAAATGGTGGCTAATCACATGCCCATGATTTATCTTTACCTTATCTCACTTTAATTTGTTTTCACATTTTAATTTGAACTTTGTCGTTACTTTTAAGCTTCCCTTCAATAGAATTTGTGTGTGTACTTTTTATTTTCTTAATATACATTTATGTATATTTAATCTTCTTTCTTACCTATTTTCCTCTAATTTTTGATCTCATAACCTTGGAGGGTCTAATTAAGATTTCCAAAATTATTATAGTTGTATGGCTTCCTTAATCATTCACTGCAACTTTTAGAAATTTGCATATTTTGTGTTTTCTTGATAACGTATTTAAATTTCCAATAATCAATTAATTTTTTTATACTGTTATTCAATTATATTAGGCTTATCAGTTATTTTCTTTTACTAGTAATAACACCTTACCTCTCTTTGATTTCTTAAAAAATCTTATGAAGCCCATTCCTAATTTTATACCCAATTTTTTTAACAGTCCTCACTTTAATAGGCCAGTGACCCAATACTCTTGATAAGATCCCATTCCTAAGTTATTTCCATTAATTTTTTACCCACTTAGTGATTTCACCTAAATTAACTATTCAGCTCTTCTTTTATTTTGGGCCTAATGCCCAATACCCTGTCCAGCTTTCTAGAATATCTTTTATTTATTTCGGCCCATCTTATCACCATTTGATACATTAATTTATGCCATTTATAAATTTAGATCTGAGTTAAGATTGAGTTTTAAAAGGTCAAACGTGAATTTGCTTTAACTCGCTCTTCTTGTTTTTGCCAACTCGTAGCAATCTAACCTGAAACACACACTTCAATGATAAAAACTGCATCTTATCGAGTTTGACCAAATTCAATTAAACAGTAAGATCAATTCCATTTTGTAGGTTTGAAAAGGGAAGGAGAATCTCATTTGGCAAGCAAAATACGAAGCATAATTGAATTTGTTACTCAACTTGACGATTATTGAAAAACTTAAAGGAAAGACTGTTACAGACTTTTTAGGGTTATGAAGCTTTTTTTAGCCTTTTTGGATGAAATTTGGGAATTTGATCCCCCAATTTGTAAACCTTATGTAATTTAAAGAATAAGGAAAAAAAAAAAGCAAAAGACGTATAAATAAAATAAGAATTTTCAGACTTATAAGTTTATTATTGGTTTTTCACGAAAAGATTAAAAAAGTGTTAGAGTTTTTTAGAAAAAAAAAA